TCAACATAAGCTGCAAGCATACCCTGTTGAAACTCAAGTCGGAGTTCCACAAGGACAAGAAGTGGTAAGACACGGTCTACAGTTGCCTTCTTAAGTGAAAAACCAGACTGCTCATATAGGGTGGTTGTGCACTCACACCAAAAGCGCAGCAATCCCACAGACAACAGCAGCCTTTCCACTCTTCAGCCTAGAGACCGCCCTTCTCACCTCTTTGATGGAAGGTGGTGCCTCACTGTACCAGCCAACGGGGAGTTGTGAACATGGGGAATCTACCCTATACAGTTGCTCAAAGTACTTAGCCCAGTGGGACCTATACTCACCCGCCTCTGACATAATGCGACGATCCTCTGCCCTCACCGAGCCCAGTTAAGAGATGGACTTCGACCGGAGTTCCCTCAGGGCTCGGAAAGCAGGTCGAAGGTCATTTTGGGCAAAATAACCTTTCAACTCTTCCACAATGCCCTTAACGCACCTCTCTTGGTCCATTCCCAAAGAGGCCCTAGCAGCTGATGAGATCCCGGGATGTCTAGATCTGAGGGGGAGCTTTGGTGTTGCAACAACAAGTCTGTGGTCAGTAGCAAAGAGCTCTGAAGGATCCTCCAGCGAATATCCACAAGAATATGGTCGATCTCTTTAGCTACAACGCCAGTATTGGAAGTTCAGTGGTGTATATCTCATCTCTGGTACCACGAACCCACAATCCTCAGCCTCCTAGATCTTGCGAAGTCTAAGAGGTATGAGCTATTGATGTTCCTAGTATCAGAGCCATAGAGACCGATGCATAGCTCGTATCCTACCCTGTCAGTGCCAGTCACCGTTTTGAAGTCCCCTAAGACCATGAGGGTGTCCTCCCGGGGACATTGATCTACTATAAAGTCAAGGTTGGTGTAGAACATCTCTTCCTCTTCGAGCCCACTTCCCTCAGTAGGAGCATAGACTGCCACTAGGGATATGAAGCCCAAAATGTGCTTCATTCTCACTAGCAGAATGTGCTCGTCAACAGGGGTAACCTTCTTGACTGAGGAACTCCCCTAAGGCGCGCACCATCGCTACAGGGAGACCAGTAATAGGTATAACACCCACTACTGGTCTCACCACTACCAGGCCGTCACACTTCACAGAGAGCAGCGATGGCAGTCCCCAGCCTCCCCAGCTCCCCTGACAACAAAGCAAGTCGATCATCCTTCGAGAGACTGAGGATGTTCCAGGCCGCTACACGGCACGCTCGCCGCAGATTGACCCCATTTGTGTGCCTCCAGCCGGGCAACGCGACAGATATATATATATATATATATATATATATATATATATATATATATATATATATATATAGAGAGAGAGAGAGAGAGAGAGAGAGAGAGAGAGAAATATATAGCAATTTATCCATATATATATGTATACATCTAAATATATGTATAGATACTTAAATATCTATACACTTATATATAAATTGATATCTATATCTATCCATCTTTATATATATATATATATATATATATATATATATATATATATATATATATATATATATATATTTTTTTTTTTTTTTTTTTTTTTTTTTACGGCCATTCATTCCACTGCAGGATATACGCGTCTCTCAATTCACCATTGAGAGGTCATATGGCAGTGTCACCCTTCAATGATTGTGCTAACACTTGTGCCACGGCGGCGACTTCCCCTACGATGCTTACATTTGATCGTTTTCTCGAGCTCGATCTAACAGTCAGAGCGCAGGCATTTTTACGACCGCCGCGACGGGGAATTGAACTCCAGTCCAGTGCTTTATCCACTGGGCCATCGCGGCAGTATATATATGTGTGTGTGTGTGTGTGTGTGTATGTGTGTGTGTGTATATATATATATATATATATATATATATATATATATATATATATATATATATATATATATATATATATATATATAGTTTCAAGTATGACTAACCGGTGTCAAGACTGTGACAATGGATTTGTTGTATATACATATATATATATATATATATATATATATATATATATATATATATATATATATATATATATATATACATTTATATATATATATATATATATATATATATATATATATATATATAAATATATATATATACATTTATATATATATATATATATATATATATATATATATATATATATATATATATATATTATATATGTATATATATATATAATATATATATAGTATATATATATATACATTTATATATATATATATATATATATATATATATATATATATATATAAATGTATATATATATATATATATATATATATATACATATATATAATATATATATATATATATATTATATATATATATATATATATAAATGTATATATATATTTATATATATATATATATATATATATATATATATATATATATATATAAATGTATATATATATATATATATATATATATATATATATATATATATATGTATATATATATATATATACATACATATATATAAATGTA